GGGCTGGAGGGATGGGAGCTGGGGGTGGCGGGGTAGGAGTAGGCTGGCTGCGAAGGTGGCTCCTCCATCTTTTGGATCACCTCAGCTTTGAGCACAGACACGGGTGAGGCCCTGGGAGAGAGGGGAGGTGGACTCACAGCCTTGCTGTAGGACGTGGAGGCGCTGGGGGACAGCACAGGTGGTTTTCGGTGCACCAGTCCCGGGGCAGAGGAGGAAAGGCCTGATTTGGCACTGTCCAGGCTCCGTTTGGTCACCTTCTCTTCCATATCCACTCGCTGCTCGTTTGCCTTCAACCTCTCCTGTGACAAGAACACAGCAAAACTCAGCACAACATCTGCAAAGTGGCACTGACCAACCACCAGGCAAGACCAAAACAAGGTCTTATCAAATATGCAGTAGAATAAAACTTGCACATTCTCCAAATGCAAGACCATTTGAAGACCAATCTGACAGAGGGTGACACTGATCTACAATAGCTTAGTCACAAATTCCCAGCTCCAGGAATCATGAGATGAATGTCTCAGTTTTCATTTGCATCCAAAGCAAAACATTTCTATTTCCAACCTCCAGCCCACATGTAAAACGAAGACTGAAAACCAGAGGACCACTATAAAAATGAATGAGTGTAAAACACCCAAATGAAAGCTCATGACTTCCAAAACCTTTTCCTGAATGGGATGTCCCTCCAGGAACCAGTGTGACTGCTGCAAGTCCTGCAGCTGCTTCTCTGAGCTGCTCAGGAGGTTTGTTTGGAGGTGACCAGAGATGAAACCACTCTACTACACAGAGCCATCTCATGGGAAGGAATCTAGCTCACACTGCTGCTGGGGAGCTCTTCTGACAGCACTGCTCAAAGGCTCCACACCAAACCTCCCCAAAACCCACCCCAACTGCAGGATACACCAAATGCTTCACATCCCAGAGACCAGGGCAGAATCACTCAATGCATCCATACCCTTGAGACACATTTGCCACACAGGCACAGCTGCATTTTCTCCCCAGACACTCCAACTTCAGGCTGGTTTCATGGCCAAGCAAGAAGTTCTTGAAAACATACCACGAGCTGGGCACTCCTCTGCAGCTCCATGGCGTGGGCTGCCTGCTGCTGCAGGATGTACAGCTCGTGCTGCCTCAGCAGCTGCTGATGGGAGAGCAGCTGGAGCTGGTGAGCATGCTGCAGGGAGCTCCGGGTTGGGGGGTACATAGCAGGCCACAGCGGGGGTGCCCGGTCCATCAGCTCTGCTGTGGAATGAGCAGAAATGCAGTCAGGGAGGCAGCAGGGCAGGGATGGATGAAGGATCACCAGGATCACTCAAGGCAATGGTCTCTACAGTCCCAGAGTGTATGCCAAACACTGGGCTTTGCAGAAAGGCAACCAGAAACCAGAGGGGAAAGTGTGCTGTGTTCCCCTCTGCTGCCCCAATCCCACCACCCCTGTGCCCTAGGGCCACTGGATTTGCTTTGCTCTCCAGCCCTTGGTTTGATGTCCATGCCTGAGCCTACGAATGGATTCTCCCAACCAAGGACTCAAACTCTTCATCCCCTGCAAGATGAAGAGCCACTGCTGAAGATTACCTGTTTCCATCACCTAAGGCAAGGCCCACTCACACCCACCCCACAGCTGTGGCTGCAGGTCCCCACAGGTAGCTCTCTGGCCCTCCCCAAAGTCTGTTTTCCCCACAGCTGTCAGAGAATGGTCCTCAGACACAAGCTGACATCCTTACCAAAGTGTGGCAAGTGCTCGCTGGGGATTACAACAAGCTGCCCTGACTGTGGGTCTCTGGCAAACTGGTAGGCAGAGGGGAGAGCTCCCCCCATGGCAGGGGGGAAGCCTGGAGTCATGCCCTGGTGCAGGGAAGGGTGACCAAGTCCTGGAAGAAAAAACACAGAGGTCACAACTCAAGAGATGCAGACAGCTCTGTCACAGACATCTTTTATGAAAAGTCCTTTCCTTAGGATTTTTCCTCCTGAGAAGCTGAGAGGCCTCAGGAACAATGTAAAAATGTAAACAATGGTTATCTGCTGCTGTGGAATGCAACAGGTGGATCTGTGATTGTTGGTTATTTCTAATTAATGGCCAATCACAGTGAGCTGGCTCGGACAGAGAGTCCGAGGCACAAACCTTTGTTATCATTCTTTCTTTTTCTATTCTTAGCTAGCCTTCTGATGAAATCCTTTCTTCTATTCTTTTAGTATAGTTTTAATGTAATACATATCATAAAATAATAAATCAAGCCTTCTGGAACATGGAATCGGATCCTCATCTCTTCCCTCTTCCTGGGACCCCTGTGAACACGGTCACACAGTTCCTACCCACACAAGAAGCCATCTACTGCTCCAAAACACCTCCATCCCTTTTCCCTGATGCATTTCCCTGGGTTTCATCGGTGTGAGCACCCTCTGGACACTGCCCCCTGCCAGGCACTCACCATAGGGATGGCCAGCCAGCCACATGGAGGGGCTCCCTGTCCTGGGCAGCCAGGGATGGGCTGCCAGGTGCGAGGCGGGGTCTGCAGACCAGCGCCCGGAGCCCGCCAGGGCTGGGCCCCCCGTCACCATCAGGTTGGAGTTCAGACCGTTGGTGGCACAGCTGGACGGGTGTATTCGGGCAAAATCTGCCAGCTCCTTGCTTTCTCTGGGGATGGAGGAGGCAAGAGGGACACAGTGAGAGAGGGTCCAAGTGATGGAGGAGCCCAGGAGTATGGATCAGCCCCCAGAACCTGTCTTGGCAAACGAGGGTCAATCACTATAGGAGAGCTGTGATGGAGATGCCATGTCTAGAATAAAACACTCCATTTCTCCAGCCCTTTGGAGCAGGCATGGATTTGCAGCTGTCTATTAGGATTGCTCTGCTGAGGACTTAGGATCTGCCTATAGCCCCGTGTACCCCACTGAGCATCCCACTCCACACCAGCAAGTTTGGTACCTACACCAGGACAGATGGAACCCTGTCTCCTGTCTGGACTGGCTGTCCCTGAGCTCAGCTTGTGACACTAAGATGTCACCTCCTTCCAAGGCTCACCTGAGCAGCTTCTCCTGGTCCCGCTCCAAGCGCCCTGCCAGGAGGTGGCTGTCCCGGTGGCGGCTCCTCTCGTCCCCACAGTCATCTTCAGAGCGCCCGTGCCCTAAGAGACAACCCAGCACCATCAGACAGCAGAAATGGCCTGGAGAAAGATGTTCCCTCTCCTCTGGGCATGCAGCAGAGTACCTGAGAACCACTGCACCCAAACAGTGTCCCCAAGGATGTTCCAGGTTCAAATCCTGAAATACCAGGCAGGGGTCTCTGTGTGATCAAGATATTATCACTAAAGCAATATTCTCCTGGTAGCACCCAAGTGCATGTGTTTTGAAGTTCATGTCTCCAGGACATCAAGGGATTACTTGCTACGCCAGGTTGGTCCCCCAGGATAGCACAGCCGCCTTGGAGCAACAGGACCAAATGGACCACTGTGCTGAAGGACAGATTTCCCATCCTGGCAACAGCCAAGATGCAGCTAAATCCTGCATCAAACCACATAGTCCTGCTTAGCACATCTCAGGGAGGGGAAGGATTTTATTTCTGCACTTTCTGAAGCACATTATGATCTTGTAAATTAGTCTGGGAGCACTGAGTATGCTCTGAATGCCTGTCCCTCTGCAACAGGCAGACCCAACAATACAGACCCTCACAAAACCAGCGCGCTCCATCCACTCCACAATTGAACCGTTAGCAGGAATCTGCATCCCCCTCGAGACATGCAACAAGAAAAGGTCTGAGAGGCAGGGACACATATGGCAGATGAGGGCAGGAATCCAAAAAGGGGGGCTGGATGTTTGGCTGGAGAAACCACTTGTCCACAATCAGCACAGCTCTTGCAAACAGCCTGGCATGGCAGCAGCTGCATCTGTGAGAGGTTAGGAGGCACCTTCACAGGAGCGAGCAGCAGAGCCTCGCTTGGCTCTGCCAGCACCAGGTATTGGGGCCACTCTTCCCTTTATCCACAATCTTCAGTCCAGCTGCCTGATTTTAAGCTTGCTTTTCCCCAGTTTTTTTCCTTAGCTTCTTTCTTGCATGCTCATTTTTCACACAATTCCCTGCTGCCCCTCTCTGCACCGTGCTTTGGTGATACAATCCACTCCTAAACCCCAGCCCTGCTTGCAGAGAGCACTCAGCCTCACAGGACTGCACCCCAGCAGCCCTTCCCAGGGTCCTCACTCTCCTGTCTGGATATGGTTTGGCACATGGGAAAACATCTCGGAACATCAAGTCTATTCTGCTGACAGGCAGTCTTTCCAAGGAGAGCTCTAGTGTGTATTTCCACAAACCTGGACAGCCCATGGGCTTTTTGCTGTCAAGTCTCCAATTCCCTCAGCTTTTACTGTCAGAAGGAATCCAGGAAAAAGACAACATCTCTCCCAGCTCCTTTCCCCAAGGCTCCTTCCACGGGCTCCAGGCAGAAAACAAAGATGCTTTAAAACCTGGCACACAGCTCTGCCTCCCAAAGGACTCTCCAGGGTCACCACATCTCCCTCACAGCCTGCCAGGACACCACGTGCAGCCCACCCAGCCCCTCCCTGACTCACTGAATGATGCCCCACACTGCCTCTGCTGCTCACTTTTACTCCCCAACCTCCACAGCACGGGGGCTCACAAATCCCTCTGGAGCCCAAAAACATCTTCCACTGCCTTTCTGCCAGCATTCCCCTTCCACACCCTGTCCCAGGTTTTTCCCCTTTGGAGCCTCTTTTCCTATTTCTTTCCTCTAATCAATGCCCAGCTGTCTCTTTGGTGTCAGCAATATGGAGCAATTCCTTGGAGAGCTCACAGCCTCCCTTCCTTCCTTGGCAGAAGGTGAGTACATCCCCTCCCCCAGCTTTTCATTAGAAACACATTATTTTGTTATTTTATCATCGCTCCTCCCTCTCCCATCTACACCCCTTGTGCTCCTTTATTCCTAGACGAGTTTATCATCTTTTTTCCACCCCCCCATCCAAACACAAACACTGAAGGACCTCTAATTCCTGCCCATCCTCCATCCCACCAACAGGACAGACCCTTTTCTGGACAGAACGATGATTGTCCAGACAGTGAATGATCATTCTGTCTATATATATGAACATGACGCACGGACTGCATAGAAAAATTCAATCAGTTATGCATGGAGGAAAGGCTTAGGTCCGTTCCCTTGACAACCAATGCCCGGTACTAAATACTTGCATTTTACTTGCCAAATACTACAGATTAGCCAACTAAAGCCTGCTTTCTCCTTCTTAAAAGGTCTAAACATTCAAGCACCGTCCACTCAGCGCAAGCAAGCTAATGTTATTAGACGAATATCTCCTGGCACACAAAGGGGGGGCAGCATTTGGGGGGCGAGAGGAGGAGAAAAGCAGTCTTGTTTTCTGTCTGAAAGCCAACTGCATCACTTAGCAACGAGCCCAGAGGCCTGCCAGAATTCAACCCTTGTTTGCAGCCTTTTAGTTCGGCTCAGTAAATTACATTTAACGCAAGCTGGGAGCGTCTGGGACGACTGAACGGCTGAACAAACAGCTCCCTGTGCTGCCCACGAGCTCCTCGGCCGGCTCCCGGCTGTGGGGAGGGCTCTGGGAGGTGATGGGAATGGGGAGAGGGGCTGCTGCCCCTCAGGGAAACTGCTTCTTGCCACTCAAGTTTGGAACAGGGGGGCAAAGGCAGAAAAATGGGGAAGGCAAGGGATAAAACTGGAAAGCCGAGCATTGCTCACCACTTTGGCATCGCTCCGTGGCACAGCAGAGCCCTGTGCCAGGCAGCCCCCGGGTGTTATCTTGCTATACACGTCAAGCAGAGGACCAAAATCTCTCTGGTGCCATCCCCCTCCTGCCAGCACCATGGCTTAAATCAAAATCATGAGATTACAACACTAGCACAAAGGTGGTTCGTGAGGTTTCTCTGTCACTCCCTTTGCTAACGGACCAAAGAGAGCAGGATTGTCCTCAAAGGGGATGGAAGTGGGGACAGGGGACTGACTGCCTCTTGCACAGGGGTCTTGCTTCCCCACTGTGGTTTACAACATGTCCTTGGCTGGCAAGGGAGGGAAACACAGCTGAAGATGCCAAACTCAGTTCATGGCACGCAGCCTGCACTGGGTAGCTGCTCTTCCCAGGGAACAGATCCTCCAGGGAAGCCCTGAGACAAGCCCTGGGGAACCTACCTTTGATGCTGCTGAGAGACAGCGAGCGGTCCCGGTCTGCCAAGCTGGGCCCCAGTTTGCTGCTGCTGCTGCTGCTGTTGTCCTTCTGCCGGGCCACGGCCACAGCAATGCCCACAGGCAAGTGCCTCACCTCCACCTCGCCCTGGGAGCCGATGCTCTCCCGGCCGAAGGATTTGGCACTCTCAGGTCTCTCAGGGTCCCTCTTTAGCTGCTTTGCAGGCTGCTGCAGCAGCAGCTGCTGCACCTTGGAGGCTCCCAGCTGTGCAGAGTCCAACTTCACGTTGCCCAGACCCCCGAAGGGGCTCTTCTTGCCGCAGCCCTGCCGGGACGCCGTCTCCTTGGCAAAGCTGCCGCTGTACTTGATGAGGCTCTGCATGGCCGAGCCCTCGCCGTGCGAGGCGGGGTGCAGCACGTCGGCGGCGCCCCGCGAGCCCACCACCGAGGAGCGCGGCAAACCGCTGGGGTCAAGGTAGACCTTCTTGGCTTCCTCCTCCACCCGGCTGACGTGGTTGTGCTGCGCGGCCAGCACCGCCATCTGCGTGGTGGCAAAGTTGCCCATCTCGAAGGGCTTCCACTTCTGCTCGGGCGGTTTCAGCTGACCGTGGTCCAGGTGCTGCCGGGAAGAGTCCAAAGTGCCATAGACCTTTGCTGCTTCTTTGGAGCTGGATCGCTGGAAGCGCTCCCGCTCGCAGGGGCGATGCTCGGCCTCCGGACTCGGCTTCAGCAAATCCTTGGAGGCCAGGAACTCCCTGCTCTCCGGAGAGCCCAGCCCCGGCCGGTTGAGGAAGGGCTCTGAAGTGACCTGTCTCTTCAGTGCCATGGAGTTCGTCCTGATCACCGAACCCTTCTCTCTCAGAACCTCCATCCTTTTGGCATCACTGTGACAAGAAAAGTCCTGGGACAAGAGTGTGCGGGAGGCATCTGCAAGGCACCGCTCCGTGGGTGACTGCAGCACCCCCACCTTGCCAAGGTCCTTGTCCTTCCCCTTGTTGTCACGGGCCTGGGAGGCGATTTGGATGGGCCCGCTCCTCTCGTCGTAGGCTTCGACCGAAGGCACGAAGGTGGGGGCGATTACTTTGTGCTCCCTCCCCAGCTCCTTGGCCGGTGGGAAGATGGTGTACATGCTGGAATGGACGGGCTGCGGAGGGAATGTTGTGGCTGGCGTCATCTTCCCCGTCTGCGAGGGGTGTGGGGATGGACAGCTACAGGAGATGTGCAAAGCGCCCACGGAGGGCAGGAGGGGCTCCCCCCGCTTCAGCCGCTCCGCGTGGGCGTGCGCAGAAGGCCTCATGTTCTCGTCGTGCCGAGCGGGGTCCTTGGCACAGCGGTCCTGCTCGGCTCCCAGGACCTTCAGCATGGGGTCCCCACCACCGTTGCAGTTGCTGAGGGAAGAGCTCTGCAGAGGGTTCTTGGACTTGGGCTCCCCGCCGCCTGCGCCGCGGTTTGGCATGTGCTCAGCCAGGAACGGCGAGAGACGCTCGCCGACCTTCACCGCCTTCTCCACCACGCTCACTTTCCGCTCGCTGTCGGGCTTGGTGTCCTGTGTGAGGTCGACCACACTGCGGGGTCGGGGCTCCTCCTTGGGCTTGCTCTCCTTCTTGGCAAAGGGCAGGGGCAGATCGCTCCGGCACGCCCGCTCCTTCCCACCGGGGTCTTTCAGGCCTTCCTTCGAGCTCTTGTGCAGCTGCCCAAGGTCCTTTTCCCGGAGCAAAGTGCTCGACGTGTGGCTGCCCACAGTCCTTGAGAGGGGAGGCTGCGGGTGCAAAGCGGACTGGCCTGCATGGCTGGACAGGTAGAATCCATCTGCAGAGTAAAAGCAACCAAAGTTATCACAGGCTTCCAACCCCTTCAGTCCTACACAGAGACAGGCAAGAGGTGGCAAACCAGGAAAGAAGGGATTTCAAGGATGTCTTAAACAAAAATGCCCAGGGCAAAGTGGACCAAGCAGGTTCCTCCACGTGGGATGTAAGACAGCCCTGTCTCGTGCATACTGGGGCTTCAAGGAGGCTTCCACATCCAAAACCTTGGTACCGCTCAGCCCAGGAAACATCCCTGGCTGACCACCCAAGGCGGTTCCTGCTCTTCACCCCCAACACTCCAGCATTCAGCAGCTCCAGCAGCAAAACAAGCCCAAGGGGCAGGGTAAGCACCCAGGGGTGACCGATGGGAAGGGCACACAGGGTCCCAGACTCACCTTTCTGTGACTCAAAGAGGCTGTGCTGTCCCAGCTGGGCCAGGAGCGGACTGCCGGCACTGGGAGGTTCGAGGTGGCTCAGGGGAATGTACGATGGGTAGAGACCGTTAGGCAGATGGGAAAAGCCTGCAGAAAACGGGAAACAGAAGAGGGAAACATGTTTTATCCCGAGCAGCACGCTGCCTTGGAACGAGCCCCGCAGGAGCACAGACTGTTGTGGCTGTCGGTCCCTCGCACGCCAGGAGCGGCGGTGGCGGCGGGGACACAGGCGGTGACACACAGCACACACAGCCCAGGGCAGGGACCCCAGCTCGGGGACCCCCTTCAGGTACTGACCCCCCACTGCAGGTCCCCCAGCTCAACCCGGGGCTCCAACTCTGCAGCAAAACGAGCATGATGCTTCCTGAGCAGAGTCTGACACCTGAGGGCTCTGTGACCAAACCACCTGGCTGATAAGAGGTTTCATCACAAGTACAGAGACCTGTGGGTGAGGGCACTCCCCAGCGTGCTTCCAGAGCCATGATAAGACCCTCTTGCCAGCACGGCTTTGCCAACACAGCTCACTCCCTCTGCAGGTGCCCAGTACTGGGTTCAGGTTTTAGGAAAATATGAGAGCATCCTCCAGAGCAGCTCACAAAAAGCAGTTTCACATATCCAGACTCAGCATCTTATCCCAGAGGAAGGCAAAACAAACAGAGAAAGTGTGACAACCATCCAGGAGCTGATATGAAAGCAAAATATCCTCATGATGCTGCTGCCAGTGGTCTGGATGTCCTGGACGCTGGGTCCCCAGCAACACCCTCATGCAAATTGTCCTCGTCAGCATTTCCTCAGTGAATACAATCACCATAATAGTGGTAATAACACACACTGTTGGCTACAGGCAGCAATTGCTCTCCAACACTGCCACCAAACGACACCCGCGCAACACTACAAACCCAGCCCTCCCCAGAATCAGCATCCAGTCCATGCCATAATTTAAAAACTGACTTAAAGCCATCAGGAGAATCTGAAGGAGCCAGTCAAGCCCTCTGCAACCTCCCCTCCCCTCAGCCTGCATTAGCAACCAACTTCCCCCAAATTCCATGATCCAACTGAAAGCAACAAGTTTGTCAAGAGTCCAGCATCCAACAGCCTCCAAACAACATCACACCAAAACCCAAGGGGAGACGGAGAAGTTCAGTCCCCGAAGCTGCACGTGGAGCACCATCTGCGAGAGCTAGTCAATATTTCACATTATTTAGACAGCCAGGATCTCTTTGGCGTACATGTTTGCATGCCGGCATATGTGCCTCACCGCCGCGGTGCTCCGCGCAGCGCCTGGCCCGCGGCCATCACCCGACAGATCCCAGCGGCGGCACCCAACACGCCAGCCCTGCAGCAGCAGGACCAGGGGAGCTGCTGGGCCCCTGCTCTTCGACACAGAGCCCGTTTTCCCAGCAGGTAAAACCTGCTGTTAACCCTGAGCACAGCGCTGCAAAGGCGCTAAGCGGGCACGCAACGTTCGGGCCTCTCCTTGGTAACCCCAAAACGTCCACAATGAAGATTTCCAAACACCTTTTCTTATTCCAGAGCTGGAGAGAGGTGAGTAGAACCCAGCTTAGCTTAGCTGTGAGCAGCTCCATTCCATGCCATGTATGCCTCGGCAGTGTCACTGTCACCGCTCCAGCAGGGCTGGGCTGGCAACGAGCCAGCAACTGGAGCAAGAGCGACACATTTCCAAGGGAACACCAGTCCCATCTGGCAGAGCACATGGCTGCAGCATGGCAAAGCCCCTGGAGCACCCCATGCCATAGCAGCCCGGAGGCTCTGGCCACAGACATCCCCACGTGAGCCCCTTCTCCCAGCCAGGCATCAATCCCAGCTGCTCCAGCAGGAGGAAACACCAGCACGGGGAACACAGCGAGACACATCCCATGCTGCAGACACCACTGTGCACAGATGCCCATGGCATGTCCCCACTTGCATGTGCTGCAAGGACAGGAAGCCACCTGCAGGGCTCCAGGGAAGGGACACACTCCAGCACTGCCATCAGGCACAGGGACACCTGCACAGAGATTAAGTTACTGATACTCAAAGAGGCATTTTGGTACCAGTTACATCCCTGGTCCTATGAGGGCATCTCCCTGCTTTCAGCATCATATCCTGCCCAGGCTCAGTCCCAGCCCCAAACCTTCTGGGGCTTCCTCCCCAGTCAGCATCATCCCATCCTGCTACAGTGACCCAGCCTCAGCTCAGGGCTGCAGAGGAAGGAGGAGGAATGCAAAGTGTCCAAGCTGGGGACAGGTTCAGATGGACAGGTTGGGACGTGTCACCATGTCAGCTGGGAAACAGCAGCAGAACTGAGCTGATGCCACCAGCCAACTGCCAAAGCCACCTCACACCTGGCAGCTCTTCCCAGTAACTTCCAGAAGCCCACAACAGCAGCACTGCTCCTTGGAGAGGCGTAAGCCCAGCACAGGAGCTCAAAGCACATTCCAAAGCTCTGCAGGTGGAGAAACTGAGGCACAGGCAGGTGCAATGACTCGGGGCACCATGCAGCTGACCAGCAGCAAAACCAGAGAACCACTCAAACTCCAGCCTCGGGTCTACCAGCAACACTGCTTTTCCCCTTGCAAAGTGCCTGAAGAAGCTGCACAGGCTGTATTTACCTGGCTTCTTCCCTGCCAGGAACCAGAGCTGGAGTAGGGAGGAGAAATCCGAACCACAGCTTTCCTGGGGATGAACCCAATGCAAATCCAACCTCGAGGCACTGCCAGAACATCCCTTCCCCTGCAGAGCCCTCCAGCAGCCACGCTGACAGGCTGCTGGCGTACGACTCACACGGAGCCCAGAACCTGCTGCCCCAGTGCCCTGGGCAGGGCCTGGAGGTGAAGCTGCTCCTCCAT